GGGGCTAACTCGATTTGAACCTTGATAGCTTCGGCTATAGTTCTTTAGTTAATTTTAGTTTTAGTTTAATTCTTAGTCTTTTAAGTTCAAGTCCAAGTACGGGCTTTGTTTGTACCCTCCCAGGCGGAGTTTTGTTAAATCTTATTGAAATAATAAAGAGTTAGTTACCCTTCTATCTTGTTGTTTCTTGTCACCGAACTCAAGCGATTATTCTCTTATCAGTTCTTAGATTCTTCACTTCCAAAATTAACTTAGAATTCCAAAGTGAGGAACTCTACATATTAATATTTATCGTTTATTAATAAGTCATCCGATTCCAGCACTTGGTACACCGTGATTAGCATAGCAGTCCCCATAGAAACAAAGCATGTATTTTCTACTCTAACTACGGTTATCCTGATAGGTAATTTTGTGTTAAACTTTCAACTGTAAATATGTATGCTACACGGGAACGTAAACTCACCGCTAACTAATATCATCGATCATTCTGCTTTTAACTGCTGAAATTAACAGAACCTGAGATTTTATGCGTTTCAAGACATGAGAGTAATTTTCCTCTTGACCTTCATTTTAACTATGATCGTGTGAGAATAATATAGAAATATTTACAGATGATTCTCTATTCGTTATTACTTTAGAAGCATCCGTGTCCTATGAAAGACTGCTTTAGAGCTTAAAATCTCTTGTATTTTGCAATTTAAATGCGTTATATAATTATTTACCAAATGGACACATATTATTCTCTGTTTTATTCCTAGAAATGTAAATTAATTGCTAAAAACTGCGTGTAAAGTGCTTGAATTTTTTTTAATATAACCATTTATTACTATATATTATTATTATTTCTTTATAAGAATTATATTCTTTAAAAAATTGAATTTTATTAAAGAAACACTTATTTCAGTATAAAGCATTACAACAAGTAGAAAATTTATACTGAAGCTTTTTTTAAGCGGTGAGATCTTAATCAATAAGGAAGAGTTGTCTGATCTTTTTATTACTCTTTAAAACATTCATTTCTTATCGGAATAGCGTTTAAATTCATCGCAGTTTCTTGTATAATATTTAAATATAAATTAAGGTTTGGTAAATTATAAGGTAAATTAAACTAAAGCGAAGGATCACATTTGCACATAAACGGCATAACTCCTTTGAAATCGATTTCAAAAATTAGTGATTTATTCTTCCTAGAATGGAGAATTAGCAGTCATGTGACTAAAACTAATAATCATTGGTAGTTAAACATGGATTCGAAACTTGACAAACAAACATATTACAGATATATTTCCAATTAGTTTCTATACGCAGTTTTAATATGGGTCAGTTTCTCTTAGAAAACCCTCCACGAACGTAAAACTTCTCTTAAGCAAAAATGCCTTACCATATTTGAGAAAACATTATTAACATCTTCAAAAACTTAGGGTAAGATTCTTAAAATGAATAAATAATTGTGGAAAAAAAACCGAAAATCTCTTTAAATGAAAAATAAATATCCTAAGATTAGCATCAATTGTTGCAGCATTTAATGAAACTTGTGTAAATATTATACACACAAATCCTTAAAGTGCAAGAAAGAAGGAAAAAAGTGTGCTTGTCTATAGGTTTTAGTTTGCCAAAACACGGAAGTATTAATTTTTATTTAATTTAAATTTGAGCTGTATAAGCAACTATGAGCTACATTGGCGAAAGCTGGCTTCAAACCCCTAAGAAACAAAGAAGAATTTATTCAGAAACCAAGAAGTTTTTGTACAAGATATTTTTTATGCTTGATATATATTTTCACAGTTCGTTGTTTTTGATTGGAAGAACAGACTCAAGGGGAATCATACTGGCTCGATCAAAATCCCAGCATTCTCTGAGGCAGCAGAAAGGAATAGGAACGGCATGCGGATTAAGTCTAGAGAGACAGAAAATATGAAGGAAAAAAAAAAGAAATATTTTATGCTTCTTGAAAATAGATCATTTTTGGGTGCTTCCATTTGTTTCTGAGATTGGTCATGTAGCTGAGAAATTCCAAGTGTGCGTGTGCTAAGAATCATGTTTTGGAGATATGAAGTTAGAAAAATTCTTTTTATAAAATTTCATGTCGAAACCATTTGTCTTTCCGCAATGATACATTTGTTCATATTTCTCCACTACTGTTTTAGTTTCTTCCGATGAGTTTCCGATGTTTTAGTTTGTTTACATTTCTTCCGATGGGAAACGAACTTTCATCCTTGTGATGGTGCTTTTTCAGAAACATAAGTATTAGCCTAGGATATATATCATAGTTATATATTTGTAGATGTTTGTATAAGTTTTTCAGAATTCAGAGTATTTAAGAAGATGAATTTTGTATTTGATTTACTGTGTTAATATTATATATTTTTTTTATAATTAGAAAATTTGCCTTAAATAAACTTTATTAATTGTGAGTTTGGCGTAGGTTCTGCTAAATGTATTCCTAAATTGATAATTAACTTATCTCTTTCATTTTCTGACAATTAATAAAGAACAAAGGCTCAAATTTAGGACTTCATATTACTAAAATTTATTTCATCTTTTTTAATCCCGTTTGTCAAAATTAATTTTTGCATGCTGTTTTGCTTATGTTTATATGGTTATTTTTTATAATTTACTGAAAATCACTCTTTTTACTAAAATTTCCAAAACCCTTATCCTCTACAGTGATTCTTTATTGAAATCAAGCAACCTTCTTGGACTAGATGAAAAATTATCCTGGACATGTTCTTCGGTTAATGCCCATTCTTCGGTTAATGTCCATTCTTCGGTTAATGCTAATTTCTCTATCATTAATAAAATTCGAAATTTAATTTAAAGGCCTTATACGTGACTCTCAAATCATTGAGTAATTTACAGATTTTCGAACTGTGTTTTATATATAAAACTAAAAGAAGTATGAATATATGAACTAAAAGAAATATGAATATATGAACTAAAAGAAATATGAATATATGAACTAAAAGAAATATGAATTTAGTACTAAAACACGAGTTTGAATAGAATTTGCTAATGTAGGAGCATGAATTTACTAATGTAGAATTTGCTCTTTGAAGGGCAGGAAAAGGCAGTTAACTTCGCCCACAGAACACATCCCTACAAATCAGTCTCTATGGTACTCATGAAAACTGTTTTTCTTTTTCAAACAGAGTGCAACTTGTGATTGCAGAGTGCATGTGCTGCATTGCCACTCTGTTCTTACAGGCTTTTCTTGGTGCTGCGGAGTGCAGATGTCTTCAATGGCTGATGCTTATTTTCTTGAAGACGAATTGCTGCATCAACTACTGGCTTATGTTTCTTGATTGCCATGTAATGAGTTACAAGGGAACTTCAGAAGCGGTCAGTCTGGAAAACCACTCACTGTAGAAAGAAAAGAAGAGCCAGGGTGGTTACTCTATGTAACCACCGCCCTGGCTCTTTCTTCTTTTGTAACGAATTCTAGACAGTTTTCCATAACTCTCGATGGCAACCGGCTTTTCCCGGTATTACGCTGAACGAGCAGAACAGCAGAATATTCCACGTTGGGACTTTGAGAAGAGAGTTTGAGCTCCACTAGTTTGAGTTATAGAGATAGAGAATTTGTCTAATGATGACAGGTATGATGGATGTCATCCTGGATCTTCTTGTGGTATCTGAACATTCCACTGGCTTGAGATTTCAGCAATATATTTCGATGTTTGTGATTTAAAATTTATATGTGTATGAACATGTGTCGTGAGAGTGTTTCGAATAAAGAATGAGGCATCACTGCTGACTCATCTGTCCGTTATCCAAAATACGTTACACTTTCCATGCTTTCTTTTAAATGGTTTGATTAAGAGCGTAGGTGATTTACATGTCTTCTGTAAGATATTTTATTTGAAAACAAAGTTCAATACCATGATTGACGTTCAGAACGAATTTAGTCGCGTTTCATAATATATCACTTCTAAAATAAAGAAAGAATTACTTTAGTTGAATGTACCGTTGTGGTTTGTCCCTTTTTGTAATGAGTTTCTGTGAATATTTCTGTGCACGAAGACAGAAAACTACTATAATAAAACATAACATGTATGTAAGAATGTATGTATATAGTAAAAAAAACTGACAGGTCTAAGAAAGCGGACTATTCTTCACTGATAACCGTTGTTTAAATCGCTTTCCTTAAAACAATAAAATCAAGGGCAAAGATTTTAGTACGAGAAAAGTTATGGAAAACAGACATTAAAGAAAGTGGTATTTTCGCCGATGTCTTTAACTGTTAGACCTTCAGGTGGAGTGTCCTCGTAAACTCATTCTAGGAAGCGATATAAAAATTTTCTAATTGGGAAGTAAATATTAGTGTTATACGAGTTTGAACTGCAGCCCGTTCTTAAATTAGAGTCGCAAACATATCCTAATGTATAAAATAAATTTCTGTATTTACCTGTGTTACTGACGGTAAGTCTCAGAGCATACTGTAGTATATCCGAGTAATTGCCCCCTTTTATTATTACTTGAATCTTTTGAAAATCGAGAGGGAAAACTTATGCGAATAATTTAATATCCTAAGGGCGAATTACAGTAAAATCTGAACAAATGGAAACTCGTCGTGGATAAATTACAAGTAATTATCACGATAATATTTCTTCAAAGAAACATACGTTCCAATAAAATACATAGTAATATTAACATTACAATATCTGATAAGATACCTTTGTTCATTTTCCCTGTAACTTACACTTCCTTCGCAGGTTTCTATTGTTGTCTCTGCTACTTCTTAGGCTCCAAATCATTCGTAAACATTTAGAGAGGGTGAACATATAGCTGACTCAGCGAAATAGTTGACTGAATATCAGTTCGTATTTGCTTCGCTCTGATGGAGATCGCTCTCTGAACGCTTTGAAGAAGGGCAAAATTGCGAGAATATTTTTTTTAATTTTCAGAATCTGAACTAAAACTTATGTGGAAAATTGCGCCAGAAAATACGGTGTTTACGAAAACGAGAAAACTTTTGTATGTAGCTATAACATGAAAGTCTATTAACAGTAACAAAATTTTTATTTGAAGTTACCTAAAGAAACGTATGTACAAATTTGGATCAGAGGAAGGTACGATTCTGGCTGTGGATTAGACTAGTAAGCTACATAATTTTCTCCTAGTGCAAAGTTTAGAAGTTGATACTCCTGGCAACAAGAACTTCATAGCTGCTGTGGGGATGCTCGCCTCCGCCGTAAGGAATGTAAAGGACTCCATGACTAGGATGTACCTTTCCACTGCACATAGCTCCTTCATGATTTGCACGGCCAATATACAAAGGTTCCCCATCTACAGTGCTTCCACCTTGCACGGCACCGGGTGGAAGATCTGATCCAGCTGCATATCTCCACTCCAGATTTACTCCATAGGGAGCAACCAAGACCTGTTGAAACACAGGAATTATAAAAATTGAAACACATGATCATTCAGATTAAGCTTCTAAGTAAGATTTGTGTTATAAAATTGATATTCTTTACGATTCATATTACTAGTTAATTATTAGATTTTATTTTTCTGAATCAATGTTATATCTAGCAGTTTCTGAAACAATAAAATTTGCAATAAGGTAATTAACAAAAATTAAGCATAAATAAAAGATAATTATGAAAATAATTTAAAAACATTATCTGCACATTAACTATTGTGAACAAGGAATTTTTCCAATCAACACTAAAACAAATGATCTAACTTCATAAAAAAAATAGCAATGGCATTAAAGGCATATTAATGTTTTGTTGGTTAACATTATTACTTTTCTCATTACCTGAATATATATATATATATATTCAGGTAATGAGACATTTTTATATTTTTATAATGATAACATTTTATATTTTTAGTGATATAAAAATGTTATCATTGTAAAATCATTTTTTCAATCTGGCTGATTGCATACAAACTAGTATAATATTTAAAACTTAGAGATTGCAAATTGATTATGAGAAAATAAGTAGCAATCAGTGGCCTAGTTCAACCATTAAAAGGGAGTTGGCATATAATTTTTAGTTTATCGGTCACGCAAACTGCAATTCTCATAGGTATAGCATATATGTTTAATTTATCAATAAAATTGAGTGATTGAAAGCACCAAAAGAATGTACTTCTTACCATTCCTTTATTTTACTTTTCTAACTGAAATAATGAATGCAATTTTTAGTACATCTAATTCTTATATGTAACAGATGACTTTTATAAGAATTTGCACCGTTATTATAAGTGATTAAGACGATTTTAATGCCGCAAGTTATGTAATATGGGAAAGGAAATGTACGTTCTGCTTAACAGGAGGATTGTAATCCATTATACTTGAAGAACGACTCCCACGCGCTACTCAGTATTTTAGCTTAGTCCGAGGGGCAACAAAGAGTCAGCATTAACAATTTGTTAGTATTTTTTGACTATGAGTCATACACGCTTAAGTGAGTACTACCTTTTCAAGGGGAAAATTATAAAACATTATTTTATTTGATTAAGTTTGCAAGTCAAAAATAATATGGTACAATGACTCCGCAATTTCTAATATTCTGTTTGAAGAAGTTTACTAAATAGAATTCGTATCAAATAGATACAAGGAAAACGTTTCAAACAAATTCTTTCTGTTTTTTTTTTTATTTCCATTAGTGAAGAATACTTTCAGGATACTATTTTAATATACAGATACTATATGAAGACTGAATAATGTCCATGAGAAACATTCTCATAAATCGATATAATAGCGTAGCGTACTAAACTGTTAGCATTCTTACTTCATATTCATGATGGCCGTGTTCTTCGCCACCCCAGGCAACATAGCATGACCCATGAGCTGGTACGAGTTTCCCTGGAATACTATCTCCCTGGTGATGTGCACGAGCAACATAGACGACATTGCCACCATCATAACCAACTTCAATGGCATTTGGTGGTACGCTTCCTCCGGATGAAGGTACCCAATGAGCAACGGGTTTGTAAGTAGTTGCTGAAATATAATTAAAAGATTAGTGTTTACAAATAAAGGCACATTGTATTTAAAGTTATATGAAAAGAAAACATTCCTATATTTTGTTGCTTTTAAGCAAGTTTGTGCTGTTAGGGCATCTAGCATTAAAAAAGGAAATAATTTAAATAAATAACAGAGAATGTCTTACGTAGATCAATGATCATAGTACTTGTAATCTAACGTACTTAATTAAAAAGATATATATTATTCCAAAAATTTCTATTCAGTTCAAAGCAAAAGATATTTAGCGATAGACCGTTTGATGACGTTTTTATGCATGTGTAATATTAACTAATCTAGAAAATTATCAGATCTTCTATGATTTTTAATGGCATGACATAAAATGTACGGTCTTATGTTAACGTTTTTGGACAGACTGACTCGTTAGTTTACCACACGACGGTTATCTGATTAAGGGAGATTGCTTTCATAGAAGAATTTTAAAGAAACTTTGGCTCGTATTACCCATGGAGAAAACAATTTTACATTCTCGGCAGTCGGTCTGTTAGCCGCTCTCTGAACCTAGGTCAAACTATCAGTATTTAGTGATTGTTCTGCTTGGCGGTTTGTGGGCATTTTGTGGATACATTTTTGCAGATAAAACGGCAGTATTTAGACTTAAGAAAAGTCAAAGCAGTATATACTCTAACAGTTTCATTTGGTAGTGCCAAATTATTTTTCTTTTTCAGTTTACTGAAGCTGCAAAAATTAGTTAATTAATTAATTAAAGAAGCTGAGAACTTCCTGTTTAAACGTGAAACAAAGCTTGGTTCAAGTTAGTCTGAATGATTATGTTTTTCAGAGTGCGAGACTATTGTTTAATAATATGTTGCTTATTGCACTAAAGCTATAAAGTTCGAAGCACTAAAAACTGAAGAATTCGAAGAAATACATTTGAATTTTGGTTAAAAATTTCCTCTATGCTATTAATAATATGTTTCAAGTTGTAACTGCAATAAGCTATGTGTGTTCGCTTCGCTTTGAAGTAGGTGTTTGAAACACATATATAATTAAAGTACATATAATCAATCAAAAGAGTTTTGGAAACACAAATTTGCTGTTTTATTTATTTCGAAGAGCATAAATTTTTGAAACATTTTATTTAAAGTAAATAGTCTCAGAGTGTAATATCCTTTAAAAACTGCTGACTCTGTTCTTTTGAAACAAAAAAATCAAAGAAATATTTGAAAAAATTTAACTATTGTGTTGCTATCTTAAAATAATACGTAGTTTTTAACTTATTATAAATTTTTTATATCGGAGGATCTCATTTCCTTTTAATGTAATTCATAATACCCATTTTTGATTCATAATACCATTTTCGGTGTTTTAAGGCAAGGCTGAGTAAATAAATTACGAGAAGCATCTAAGTTAAAATTTCACACCATTTAAAAAACAATTTTAATTTGTGTTGTTATTTTGGGACTGCTTCTATGGTGAAAGCATGGTATTTTGACTACGTTGACTAAAGGTTCAAATCCCGTGTCTTTATTTTCTTTCGAACTACATCATATACTTGGTGAATAAACATGTTCATCCTTGAATAAACATCCGCTTTAGCCGACATAGACACACGAGGCTAAAGGAGCTCATTTGTAAGGTATGGGGGAAATCTTGCATTACTTGACACTTAACGATTTAATCTGTCATTTAAATAGTAACTCTTCCCAAAAGGTTTATGACTTACTTGTTGCCCAGCTAAATGTTTTTCTTATTAAGAAAAAATATTAAAACAATAAAAATTTGACCAGATAATCTAAACATTTGCTTAGTATGTATACCAATTTGGTATTTTCTGACTCTCTGCTCCCGAAAAATCGCCAACTGAATTTAACACATTGAGCGCGACGCCGGGCCGTGGGGACAGGCAGTGAACTTTCCGTGTGGCCAGCGTCAGTCCCTAGGGACCGGCAGGAACACATTGAGCCCGGCGCCTGGCCCTGGGGACCGGCACTGGAATTTGGCTGTCGTCGGTCCGCGTGACCGACAGTATTAACATTGGCGATCACGAGCTTTGTCACGCACAGGCTGGGCTTGTATGTCGGTAGCCGACAAAGCTCAGCAACAAATAAGCAAAATCAGAGCATGAAGTCGCGGAACACCCTGCAGCATTGCACCGCTTGATGGTTCGCGCCGGCTGAACGGAAAGGACAGCAAATTCGGCGCCGCGCTCAACGTGTTAAGACCATGTGAACTGGCGAAAAACGTTTTTTCGGCTATTTTTGTGGTTCACGAATATTGTTCTTTTGACAAATAATAGAAAAGAAAGAAGTTCAGTGAAATTACGTTATATATAAAACGGATAAATCATCGTATACTGAATCACGTGCATATGGTATGCGATTGTATAGATTAGCTCTTACAGCACGTATACTCAAATGCCGTACGTTGAAATAGGAGGTGCGAGTAATCAGAAAGTATCCCAATGTACAAGATGTATGTAATTCTTAAATCACTTTCTGATATCTAATTAAATGTTATCTTCCATCCAAAAGACTTAATAATTGCAAGTCTACTTTCACAGAAAGAGCTCAGTAAAACAGAAATGAAAACTTACAGTTCCATGCTAACTAAGAAATCTTGATAGAGACCGACATATATTCTGCTTCATTTCTTTTTGTGCATATATTTCTGCTTTATATTTAAATTTATTGAAAATCACGACTAAAATTTCAGATAAAAATCGCCATATAGAGCTAAAACGTTGAATGGAATTAATAGCTTCAGCGTTAACTTACAACTTTTAAGAATTTCCGTTTTACTGAATACCATAATTTTGGTATCGCTATGGAAATAGGTTTCTCTTTTAGTTGAGAGTCTGAAAGGATTTCTTTTAGTTGCTCCTCTTTTATAGCATAAAATTAAATATATGTATAATTAAGGAAGTAACCTGAAATTCCCTTAAATATGTTACAGATTTAACAAATGTACGTGTGGAAGAAATATTTGGGTTATAAAATACCCGAATAACAAAACAATGTCTAGTTGTTTAAATAATAAAATTTATTAGTTGCACATAAGAAATGTTGTAGAATTAGAAAAAAAGTTTATTTTTCCGATTTCAACTTATTTCTCCCAAAGAAATTAACTTTTAAAAGCCCAGAATTTAGCAAAATAAACGGTTCAAAATAAATAAAATTCAATGGAACCAGGGACATTAAAACGTTCATCTTTCGAAAGTCTTACGAAGCTACGGAAATTTTTATATTAAGTTTCCTTCTAGAAGGCTGTCATTGTTGATACACACATTTTTAACAGTAATTGTAGAATCTTTGCCTAAGTTGAAAGATGCGGTACTTTTCCGTTTCGCCGGCGCAAATCTCGCCAAGCAGACTTTATTGGCGACAACATACAGTATACACGTAAAAAATATTAAAAAAATGTTAGTTCTAAGAATTCTTTTTAAAAAAGAAGGCATAAACATTTTAATGTCGCTTAAAATTTTATAAAAAGCCAATAAATAAAGACAACAAATTTGTAAAAAGACATTAAGAATTTACTATGCTTTCATGGTTCAACATCCTGATTCGCCGGTTCATATCACGTGACCCCAAGCGATCTCATCTCACGTAAACTACTCTACAAAAATCTAATGCTCTCAGTAATTATCCACATTAATTTCAAGTTAAATCTTAATTTGGAACACAAGTTTAAATGCAAGAAATATTTCAATTCGTACGAATAGCTTACTCAGAAATTATGTAAAACTGCAGTGCTTTACTTCGCTAATGCATTCTCATTAGAATTGATGAATTTAACCCTTGACTTTACCTTTTCTATATTTTCGGCTTCGAGTAAGTGCTGTGATTGCATCCTAATTAACTTAATTACCGAAAATTGCCTTAAACATAAAACTGAACTATCTGATAAAAATTATATGTAATGATATGCCAGTATTGAAAGAAACAATCAATCTGATAAGAAAAAGCTGCGACTTGTTTTGAAAATGAGGCGTAAAAGGTTACCAGCGAGAATATTTCGTTTGGCATGGGTTGTACCATTATTGGCGACTTTATCGCTTGCACCGGCAAAACGGAAAAGTACCAAAGATGCAATGCATTTCAAATTCACCGTTACCTTCCACAAAGGCCTCAAGTACTTGAGAAAAATAACCAAATGCTCAGTCCTCATAATTTTGACGTTTAATAAAAATCAAACTGACATATTTTTAATGGCTAATATAATAGATAAATAAAGCGGCCTAGTGATAAACACTTATTATTTATCTCAGGTTGAAATCCCTGCAAATGGGGTGGCTATATTAAGAATTTTGTGGCTTCACTCTTGTGTAATGTGAATAGAAACCAGTTTCTTCCAAAATGTATTTTCAGGAAGTCATGCTTTTCTCTTACTGAATACTCCTGCCTATATTGCCATAATCCAAATTTAAAAACAAAAAATACGTCTGTATAAGAAAATTCGTAAGGAAAAGTGTTTTGGGGCGATTATAACAAGCTTTGGACAAGCACCGTTGAGGTTTTCAACAAGCTCAGGCTATTTGCTTTAAATTAGCCTCTTTTGTTTATCTCCCTGTTGTCTATAGCTTTAAATAAAGCAATTTGCCGTATTTTAATGTATGCCCTTATAAAACTTAATAAAGTTTAGTCACTAGTGTTCGAATGATAAGATTGCTAGACACTGGTACTCCGATCCTCGGTGAAATTGTGGCGAAAAAAACTGGATGAATGGAAGTTTTGGGTTTTCCTTTAGTTACTGCAAATGCCAGTCAATCTTCCATAGAAAACTCTACAAAGTCATCCTTTCCCAGAGACAGCTAACTCTAGAGTACATTGCCTGATCAAATAGTCTAATCCAGTCAAATAGAAAGGTAATCTAGAAATTACGTTGAAAAGTGCGCGTATTTTTGTTATCGTGCATTTTGTTGAAAATAAAATTCACGACACAAATTTCGATGTTCAAATGTTCGTTAAATTTCGAAAACTTTCACAATATGAATTGCATCCCTGCACAAAATGTTT